TGTTCTACGCGGGGAAAATCGATCGAATGCGGCCGAATTTAATTTATAACGGATATTTAACGTGTTAAAAGTGTGAATAATTCAGTGAAATTTGCACCATGATTCGTGAGAATTCGATAGCTGTGCGTGCACGAAATGTGAAGTTTCGACTTTTGATCGATCGACGTAATTGATCGATTTTTTTTTGTCAATCTATATGTGCAATTTGAGGTAGTTGACGATGAATATTTGATGTGTGTGTAAGAAATCGTGACGTGATGGTTCACGTCGAGTGGGTTGTCGCCAGGCTTCGGCTCTCGTAATCCAAAAGCGTTTAAAGATTAGAGCATCCACGATGCACGCTGGTATGAGAAGCACATTTCTCGGGATGAGGATGTTCCCGCGCCGGAAACGGAAATCGCCCGAGCGTGGGAAAAGGTAATGATTATGTGATGCGAGTACCAATTATCCGTTTGGCTCGCAGAGTACTTGTTTCTATGCACCGAGTAATTGAAGTAGATCGTATTTCATGGAAGAGAACTGGTCGACAAATAGGATCCGTTTTGGGCGCAAATTTCTACTTGCGAAGTATTATCTGATATGCAAGACAATTGCTTTTACATTAATTAGCGGTAAAATTATCGTAGGTTTTATGCTGTATATTTCATTAAGTAAATTAAGATTTGAAACATTTTCTGGGAAAGGTTTATTGCGACAATGGTATGTAATGAAATCATTTGGGAAGTAGTGAAGAAAATTAAGTCATTTTGTTGATAATTGATATGCAACATTGAGTCTTTCATTAAAAAATCTTGAACTTTGTTATAAATGTTCTCGAAAACTAACCGATGAAAAAAAATTTAAAAAAATTTATATGCTGACGTTATTAATAAAAGAACTTATTTTTTAAATTTTATGCAATTTTAATATATTTTTGATTCTCCTTAAAATCTATTTAAATAACGTTAAAATCGAACATTTGATGAGCTTGTTTCTAGGAAGCTCATGCCATCTGACGCAAGCTCTTGGAAGTCGATAAGCAAGCAGTCAAAAGCTCTTTGTCTAGGAGTACATTGATTGATAGCATCCAAATACTAATACTTTTTTATTCGGCATCGATTATTTTTTGCATAGACTGATTTATTTATAGCTTTGGTAACAATAGGCATGAGTGATAGCGAGTGAAACTGTAACTGTGAATCAGAATTGATATTCATAGATTACGATACTGTATAAATAAAAGTCTCGTTTTCTTACCAAATTGACTATTCTATTTCGGTCGCATTCATCTCTATACCGTAAGCGAAAAGACACTTTTTTAATACATATTTATTTCGCAGTAATTTAAAAATTAAAAAAAGAAGCAGAGGACAATAGGCACAAAGATTATATTAAAATATTTACGAATCTAATGATAACAAAAGTGATGCGTAAAGCAAAAGATACAGACAGTGATTGAAAATAGTGACGAACTATAGTCAATCTACGAATGTAAAAAGGATTATGATGCGCGAAAAAGCAATCAACGACTAGGAAGAAGAAAAATTTGGAAATATCGAGCACGACCTATTTTTCGAGAATTTATCTAACATAGTTTCCCGACGATTTCTACGTGTCGAGGGAAAAGGGCCGACAGCGTAAATAATTCGGCTAATACCGGCAGCGGAATTAAATTAGGCTTTGTTAAACAAATCTTAGGTGTATTTGTGTTGATTATATGTCATGTCGAAATAGATGAAAGAAGCATATTTAGAGCTCTTTTCAGGATATTATACGTGAATTTATTCAACATCGTATATGCCACGACAAGATTTGATAATTTGAGCTTAAATGTGTTTATTCCGAAGTCCATTATTGATCCGCCAAAAGAGATCTAGAATCGCCGACTTGGTTGCGAAACGTGCGTTGTGGTCAACTGTGATGGGGGCTGTCCCATAAACCGTCAGCCTTCTCGCAGAGTTTCAAAGCGTCCTCTTAAACCTCTTATATGTCAGCGATGGTTTATAATGTACCGACTTAACTCCCGCGAGTAGGTTGAAAGCCACTCTCGACGATAATCATTGTTGTACGCTCAAGAGACCGTGGCCCCCTTTTCAGATTGTACGATGCGAAATGCTTGAAAATGCGCTTATCTAGAGACTGTAGAAAATGTATGATATAAAATCCTATAAAATATAACAAAAGAAAATTGTGGGAACTTTAAGTGTTTCGAGATGCTTGCTACATTCGAAATTAATAATACTTTTAAGTGTACCTTTAATTATCCATATAATATATTTAATAATTTAAATTAAAAAGTAAATGGTGTTTCTTTTGAAAATTATTAAAGAATCCTAGATATCTATATTAGCCACTTTATGTGCAAAGTGACTCGATTACGTTACTTTACTACATGGCTTATCGAACTGCCACAAATCGAAGACGAATGCATTATCTCATCGCCGGTGGTACCGGCGCGTTCCAATTCCTAGCCGATACCGAGTCCGGGTTACGTTGCTGACAAGAGCGTTCCGCGATACGACACGACGCGGCACCGGCGTGACACGAATACATATGTACGCGGAGAGACCGCGGTAGCGAAGGTAGAAAGGAAGCGAACGGCCGACCGGCTGACCAACCACAGATACCGCCTTCAGCGGTGGTTGCTTGCCATAAGTCGTGCAGGTCATGCACAACGGGTCAGGAGAGAGAAAGTCAGTCATACCGACGCCGTGCTACCATTCGCGTCAGTGATTGGTCGAGCTTGCGAAAAGCTCCTTCTCGAGGATACCAAAACCCCGTCGCGCTCGTCCACGCAAAATATATATACGTACGGCAGGCGAAACTGACTTAGACGAAGGGCCGAGAAACTCGCGGGAGAGAGCTTGTGGATGCTGCATACGTGGTATCTTCATCTAGATTTCTCCGTCACGTGACGACGGGTGGGTAGAGGGAATGATTGGTGTGAGAGTATTAAAAGCTTGCTTGAAACGGCTCTTTTGGTCTGAGTGGCTAGTTCGTTTTGGTAGCTGTGTGCCGTCTTTAGATGGCACGAGCGAGTGTATCTGAAGAAGGGAAAGAGGTGGAGAAGGTCCAAGTATAAAAGGCGAAAAAAAATAGAAAGAAAAGTTTTCTTTTTAGGAAGATACATAAAATAAGATTTGGTTGTATGAACAGCTGATTCAAGTTCGATTGTTTATAAATGGCACCGAGCAGGTACGTGTGTGAGATGGGATAGACGATAGCTAAAATTCACTTTTGTCACGAAGGAATTCACTTTTCATTTCATTGAGCAGTTAATAATATTTCAAAGCTTGTAACATTTAAGAGGCCCTCTTGATCGATTATTTGCTTCTGCTTGAGTTTTTGGTCAAGTCAGTCGCGTTTATCGGAATACATCAAAGAGTCTTTGTGGAGCTTGCTCTCATCAATTCGGGAGAGAGAGAGAGAGAGAGAGAAGCACTCTATATAAAAATACTTCTTCGTTGTTTTTATCCTGAGTAGAATAGAGCAATTCTTAACTTTGAGCAAACTATAAACAACTCGCACCAGGAGACTTAGCGGTGTAAAACCATGAAATTGACGAAACCTAATCGTCCTAGTTGTGCAAAGTTAGTGAGAACAGTTTATCTTTTTAAATCGTACTATGACCGCCACGATCGAAGATTGAGTTACGAGTTCCACTTACAAACTACAGTCAACGCGGATGACTTTGTACTACTGAGTGTTATCTGTGGACCTACTTCTTACGCTCTATTTTTTGAGAACAGTTTAAATGTTTAATCTTATTTCAAGTTTTAGAGTTTACCTTTGCACTGCAGATCGCGTGTAACTTTTATATTTTACAAATATTTTCGAAATTTAGATTTCCAATTAGTAGATGAAATCTACATAAGTATTTTATTTAAGTATATACAATTAAATCTCTTTTTTTTAATTGTTGGTTTATTTTTATGTAGACCATACATGTGCCATTTTGTATCATCAAGTTAATTTTAAAGAATTGTTGACCGTCTTTTAAGTCATTGTACATTTACAATCTCATATTAACTCATTCATCTGATTTTACATCCAGAAATCAATTAGACTTCTTATATTACGAATATCATTCGCGCGTTGGCTTAGTTTTCAAACTCCATAAAGTTGAGAACTTGTACTAATATTGTGTTACACTTTTCTTCAAAACAATTCCGTTTTATTTCTACACACCTTTGGTGTGGGATGCACGATTGCCTGGAATCGTCGTGTACGTCTTTGAATCGGGGTTAGCGTGCCAGGTGAACCTCATTTTCTGGTATTGACCAGACGGCCGTGGTGCTTTGCGGCACCGCCATCTTGTAACTGTCGGCGGAAGCGTTCTAGCAATTATTTTCCTTGTGGTAGATCAGGAAAACTTCGGCGAGAAAAATATTTTTTTTTCTGTTTCATTAGTTCGCAATTTTTATCGCGTTGCTGACGAGGTGATATGTCTGTTGATCGTTGAGTGAGTATTCTCAGCGCGAAAGGGAGAGCCAAAGTGCATTTCGATCTCCCAACGGAAAAGATTGAATACCGCGAAGGTCTAGTACGATTTCATAGATTAAACGCATTTATCTTCCGTGATCAAATACAGTGGTCACAGGCGAACTTGGGCGGAATAGATTGGCTGATCGCCAACTCGATCAGCGGGCTAAGTTCGACCACGTGTTTTACTCTCGTTGTTACAAGCTTGCCAACCATCGATCGTCTCATTCCGCTTTTTCCTTCGCTCTTGATTCGTTCCATAATTGAGCATTTTATTTTCATTGTCATGTTCACGTGTTTAATCAGCTGGTGTTGTTCTGCAAGTTTACACTTGATAATTAAGTGGAATATTTTCAAGATGATAGTGGGCACAGAAAGTAATTGATTGTTATGAATCATCATCGATTGCATTGTTTTGTATTTTAATTGGAAATATTTCCTCTTGTAGGGAAAAAGAATTCAAATTTTTTCAAATTAATATTCAGCTGTTGTATTGATTTAATTTGAAATATCGATCGCGGTACAAACCTTCAAAATTATTTCTCTCCACTTCAGTATTCGCATAATTCAATTTCAATGACCCTATTGTACTCTCCTTGAAACCGGAAAACAGAATAGTTGGCAGAGGAATACCTTCCAATTTTTTTTAAAGTTTTCTTCAAAGAAAGATTTATCTTTATTGGCATTTCTGTTATTTCAAATTTTTATTTATTTACGGAAAAATATCTGATTGAATTAATCGGACGTTTGGTGAGAAATGAACGAACCAGATTTTTCCAATTAATGCAACCAGAATTTCAGTTATGCAACCAGAATTTCTATTAATTTAACCAGATTCTGATAGATTCAGCCAGTATTTTCTGGTAGAAAATGAACGAACCAGATTTGTTTTTAGTGCAAAAGTTCAAAACAAGGTACTAATTTAAAGTACTTGAAATAAAATACCAATTTTCAATCTCAGAATGCATTCTGCCTGGAATTTCTATTAGTCGCAGGAAGTTTAATATTATTCAAGCGGGAGGAAAAAAGCAAGAAAAAATGAGGCAGAAATAAAAAGCTGTTTACGAATGGAGTAATTATTCGTGCGTGGCTGCGGAAGGGTAGTTATCAGATCGGCGTGTCGGTTTCCTCGCGCGCCCTCCGCCGACTAATCGGGGTTATCCCACTGCCCCTGTTCCAACAGTGTTTCACTACCCCTTCCACGATCCTTCTTGACCGCCCTCGTGTACTTGTCGGTCCGCCTGAGTCTCGTGATCTGCAGTGCTGCCACCAATTGCTTCCTTCGAAAATCAGAAACGTCATGCGCGGGGGGATGTAGGGGGTGAGTTTACAGTGGCACGTTGCAATCGAAGATAGCGTGTTCACGCGAATGGATTCAATCGCCACGGTGTCTAGACTTCCCACGTTCACCACTTAAGCCTTTCTCGTTAACCTCCTTATTAATTAATTTTCCAACTGCGTCATTCACGATCATGTCAATCGGTTTATGTAACGGCGGACTGGTTTATCGATGATCAAGCGTGCTTTCAGCACACTTCGGTAGGTGAAGTCGCGGTCGTGATATAACGTCGGTGTATAACGAAATTTCTCTCCTTTCGATCAAATCGCGTCATCCCTATGTCGATGGCAGTACCGCGCCAGTCTCGCTTATTTTTTCACGCCGATCAGCCTCCACCCCCTGTCACGCTCGATGCGCGGAAAACTCTCGCCGCCACCCCTTTCCCAATTTTTCGTATACTGTTGCATCGTGCTTCATACATAACGCGGTGCTGCCATCGCGCGGCAGATGCGAGGGGGCGTGATCACACAGGGATGCGAGAGGATGCGAAGGGTGCATCGCATCGCGTTAAAGTGAGTCGGCGTGATCGCGGGACGGAAGTAGGATCGCGTCTCAGCATCAGTTGTCGCGCGCGCCACCCCTCCCGGTGGCGGTCATGTAGGGCTACTCTCTTGATCAACCCGGTGCTTTCCTTCCCCTCGCTTCTTACCCCACGAACGCGCGTCTCTCAACGAGCACCACCCCTCCCGAAAATTGGATGAGTGGCGTGTGCGAGCCAGGGTGAAAGAGAGACCGACAGATCGAGTCAGTAGTGACGCGTGCATGAGGCCGGGCAAGCCGGCGTGCCGGGTTCCGTCCCGGCTACGCGGCGGCACTTCCTCGGGCCCTTCGTCGTCGTCATTCTCGCCGCGTTCGCAGAGACGCGTGCGACGGACCGGTGATCGTAGAATCGAGAGGTACAACAGAAGGCGTGAGTCGGAGTCGCCGAGACCGAGAGCGTGCTGCAGCAGGTGCGCGGAATCCGTCGGCAGGGGCAGTCACGGTGAGATCGGAGAGGTGGAGTCATCGCGGGCGGCGATCATCGCGGGTTTGAATGGGTGGGCCGGGCGCCGGTAGGGTTACCAGGCACGAGCTGAACGCGGTGCCCCAGAGCCACGTCGGTCACGGGGAACGTGTCCTTGGCGAGCCGCCAGCACCAGGCTGCCGTTGTCATCCTCCGGAGCGATCGTCCGGCAGCGCCGTCCGCCACTCCTCCGCCCAGCAGCAGCAGCAGCAGCATCAGCAGCAGCTGCCACCCTCGCCGCCGCCGCTCATCTCGCTGCACCTCGGCACCGGCAACGGCACTGCCTGCGCCGTCATCAGCGGCAATAACAACCCCGCGATCACCATGAATCCGAGCGACGGTAAAGCCAAGAAGGCGGGCACCATGTCCTCGCCGCCGAAACATCGCCGGGGCTTCGACCCCAACGACCCGGTGGAATTTCACCGCTATAATCGTCGCGTTAAGACGAAGCAGCGGTGAGTGCATTCACCTGTGATATCGATTGTTTCTCTTTCGATCCACTGGAAGGCTGACATTGACAACCGGCTGATATATTGTGCCTGGTCCCGAGTCCTTTCTCACATGTTTTGCCGATATGTATACATTTCCTTGATCCTTCTGATTACTCGCTGCAGTTAGCGGAATTTATTATCTTCGGTCTTTTCTTCTTTTGATATTCGTACGTGCCAGTAAGACAATTTTTGGAATTTTTCATTTCTTTAGAATTTATATACAATTAAATTCATTTTCTAGAATAATTTTCTATTTTATAACAATTCTCTTTATAAATGTTAACTTTTAAAATCTTTATTCTCTTAACTCTTCCGAATATATAATTAGACTATTTATCTACGTGTAAGTTACGCAAGGGAGATTGTGTTCCATTTGTCACCGATTATTCTTTCGGGAATGCCGGTTTAATCGAGAACCTGTCCACGTCGATGTGGAACAGTCGAATCCAATACCCTTCCGCTTCTCTTTCCGGGCGATCTATCGAATGTTCGTTGTTAGGTACCTGGAATGGGAACGCGGTATTCCCACGTCGAAATATTACAGGGAAATACGGTTATAAGCGCTCACTGTGACTCACGTGTTTTTCCAATGTCGATCCAATATCTCTTGTCGATCGATATCCGTGGTCATCCGTGCGTATGTATCTCTTTTACTTTTGCTTCTGATGATTCATTAGATGAAATGAATGTCAGCTGTGTAACCAGTTCCGATAGAAAATTATGAGGACGCGATTGATCGCAGGAAATTGAAGCCATGAAACCCAAATTCCATTTGCCCTTTCCCCATTTCCTCGTCATTTTTTTTTTTTTGGCATTTCCGTTGCCCTTGTCACAGCTTCCATTGATGCCGAATGCACAATGTTCACAGAGGCTTTGTATGTCCCACATCGTGTGACCTTCGGCGACGGACACAGACCTCCCCGAGATCCCTCGACACATCCACCAGCACAAGGCATTATAAAACACACACAAGCTTGCGATGTTCGATGTTGGACCGCTTACTGACTGTACCCCCGCCGCTGCAACGCGACGAAAGTATGATCACGTGATAATAAAAAAAAAAATGATACGTATTACCCTCTGAAAATAAATCCAGCGAAATCCTTTCCGAAGCACCTTTATATTATTAGCATGATAATATCGTATTAAGGAGCGATATAAGTAGTGGATCCAGTATGTGAAATATAGTATACGAATATGTAAAATAAGTGAACCGATGTAAGTACAGATAATATAGAAGCGACATATGAAATAATAGAGATCATATATAAAGTATGGGATATGCAAAATAATGCAATCGATTTATAGTATAGAGTTATAGAGCGGTAATACTGGGTGTCAACCTAACTTATACTGTCCCTTTTATCCATATATATGTTATTTGATTGATATACAAAAAAGGAGAAATACCTAAGTCAAATGTATATTTTACGGATAAAATATCGAGATAATGTGAAATTAATAAATTTTAAATCGCTCATCGTGCCTTGATCGGAGCTTGGAATGCGCTGCCATGGAATGGAATGAAGGGATTTACACCTTGAGCGAAAGAGCTTTCACGCACTGCCAGGTTATCAATGTCTTGGTGCGAATGCTGCGTTTCGCAGCGGACGACCGTCGTGGAATGTTTTGCTCGGTGTATTAACTCCGAAAGAGATTGGCTTCTGCTTGGAAGATATACGAGGGAAAAACACGAGGAAAAATAAAATGAGCGCTCTTGCCAACCACCTGCCACCCCTTTGTTTATTGCTCGTGCTACGAAAATATCTTGCCACCCCTTAGTAAATTTTATGTTTCAGCTATAGTTTGCCAGCGTGTTCGAAACACCGATAATTCGTTAATTTAATATTGAAGAATCAAGTATATAAAGATGCAATAAATATACCGTATTTGTAAAATATTTTTCATGCTTTTGGCCATTTGAGATTCGAGCCAATGTTACAAAAGTACTCTCTTTGGACAATTGCTTCTTCAATTATTCTGGTTTTATCAATTTGAAGGCATCAGTGATGCGTTATTCGTCCCGAGCAATACCTTTGCACTGCGAGAACGCGCATGCATGGTCCCATCGAAAGTTTGCACGTGAGATATGAAAAGATGACGTTGGTGCGAGTAATTATTTGCGCGAGTGTGCTTTGCAAAATCACATAAAGTTAATGCAAATTTAAGGATTGTATGGTAAGAATGAGACGAAGACACAAGAGAACGTATTACAAACTCTACCTTGAATATCGGCTTAACCCTTTATGTTCTCGCGATACATACATGTATTTAAAAAATGTATGTAATTTTGTTTAAGAACAACGTATTAAGATGTTTATTTTATTTTGAAGATCAAGATTCAAGCTATAAGAAAAAATTAATCTATTTTTTTGAAAACTAATCCTGGATATATCGTTAAAAATTTTATAAATACAAAAGAAAAAGAAAAGCAAAGTATATGCGCTAAAAATTTTTGGGGAAATTTCTTTTGTACTAATATTAAGTTCTTTTTATTATATCAATCACAAAGTATTGTATCAACCAACAGTTATAGACAATACCCTTAATTATGAGAGATAATTATAAAAAACTATTTCTAATATTGTATGACTCTATATATAAAAATTATATTACAATGACAATACAACTGATATAGATTGAAGGATTTTAAGATTAGATTTTGTTGAATATGACATTAGAATTTGAAATTTCAGAAAAACGGATTTATATTATAGCTTAGTAAAAATTCTTTGAAACATTCGATAATTTTGAAAAATAATATTAGAAATAATATTAAAATTTAAAAAATCAGAATAATATTTAATATATGGGATCAAGAGACACGGTAGAGTGTCTTGCGCCAAATATACGCGAAGCGAGACCGTTCATTACGCGATTCTTAATAATCTTAATACACTGAAATATCAAATTATAATAATTGATTTTTGATGATTGGATCCAAAATTACTTGGCGAGAACATGCCGAGTGAAGATCTTGTGCTTGTTTTTTTGTAATTTTAAGCTTCTGTGTGACATGATTAATTTTTAAAATTGTTTTTAATTGATAAAGATAGTTCTTCATGAATTTTGGAAGTGATAAAATACAGGAACATTCTGATAACTACTTTTATTATTTATCTAAGCCAAAATAAATCATACAACATTATAAGTAACTTTTGAATATGAGTCAATATAATCGAGGACATGAAGGGTTAAGAAATTTTATTGTTTAATGAATATATGTATAAATATCGCAATCTTTGTATATATAGACCAAAGGATAAGTTGCGTATATGATTTATTTGTTCATTTTTATTAAATAATAAAGATTATTCTAATGCAAAGAGAAGCGCTAATTCACGATCGATTTTGGTCGATAAATATAAATGGAGGATTATTATTTTAGATAGCATTTTTATAGAGTTTTATTTACGCTACTTTGCCAGAAAATTTCAGAAATTTACTTTTCTCGAAAAATTATCGAATACATTTCTTATTCTCTTAAATATAAGAGAATATTTTAACATGAGAGAAACATTACGTGTTTTTCTCATGACAGCGGCAAGAAAAGTCACGTACTATTTTTCGTTTTATAATTGCATTTGTAAGAAGTTGACATGAAAACAGGCTATTACAATAGAAGGCAAGATCTGTGCAATTTACACTTTGTAACTTCAAGGAAAATGTAATAGGAGCAAACAAGTTTGCCAATATACATATACGTACATGCGTCAGATCGTGTTATTTCGAAGCCGTGTGTTTTTCCAATGTTGATCTGTTCAAGATTGTTAAAGTTCATAAATTATTGAGGTTTACATGAAAGAGGCGAGAGACCAACGAGATAAGTCTGATCTAACACTGCGTCTGCTTCGCGCTTCAATTTAACGTTATACTGATATTTAGGCATATTTATATCTTATACTTATTTATATGTGCAGCTATCTAAACTCTAAACGTTTAAATTAGACTAACATTATTTAATCCCACTGAAATAGTGTTGAAGGTTTCTTTTCTGTATTTATTTCATCTATCCACTTTAAGTATCGTTCTTTAAACAATTCTCTCATTTCATCCGACTACATCTGACTATCGTTCTTTAAGTTCCTTTTCATCACATTTCGTCTGTCGCATCGCACCACGATTACTCTGTCGGACGAACTTCATCTCTCGTCCTTCTTAATTGCGTCTCGCGATTGATTTCGTTTCGCTTTTCTCTCTCTCTTTTTTACGTCGCCCTGCTTTTTTCGTAGTGATCCTCGCTTTGCCTGTGACGTCGGGACGTAAATTAAATCTTGCGCGCGAGCTTCGACTCGAATCTGGAGCGAAAGAAATATGGTCATTTATTTCACGATTCTCGCTGTTGGCGTTATTTCTTTGTTTTTGGATTTATCATTATCATTTTTGGATTTATCATTAAGTTTATTGTTAAGGTTATTGTTTCTAATAGATTTTTCTTTGTATCAAATTTTTATTTAGTAGAATGCGATATATAATATAAAAAATATTATGTGATATTAATTATTTTACGTCTAGAAGAACATATATATCCCGGCGTGTTAAAATACTCTAGTGAGTCATTAAAATCAAATGGTACTTATTTTAAAGAAATCCCTTAAACTTTAGTAAAAAAATTTATTGTGACAAATATTATTAAATATAAATAATTATTTGTGTAGAAGTTTCCAACAGTTATACGATTATATAAGTTAGACGCCAGTACTGATGTATATTTCTTCGACGAATACTGAATCGATTCCTTTGTTGGAACAATGCTAGTAAGAAATAAATTCTATAAAGTTGTTTAACAACGAAAATCAAAGCTTATTGCCCGTCATTATATGAATATTCGATAATGTAAAACCGCGAAATTTATGTGAAGTTCACCTAAATATGAACGTCTGAGGCCATTTATATAAGCATGTGTTCTATACGTCATATAACTTACATCTCTTCGCGTCCCTGAACATTTGGAAGCCCTTTAAAAGCCTTTGCCTTATAAACTGTATTGATGAAAGGTATGCAGGACCGACAGCAATGGCTTTCTGTCTTGGAACTTTCAAATAGCTCTTTATCAAAAAGCTGCTCGTGAAACACGTGTGTACATAAAATGTACATAGAGAAGAAAGGTTTGTTGGCACAGTATATTTTATGCTGTCGTAGCACGTAGTACTGTTAATTATTGTACGAAGAGTAAAAAGATTTGTCAACACAATGCTAATTTTATTTGCTCAAAAGAATTCTGCTAAAACTGCAAATTATTTCGCTGTAATAATACATTATTTTGTTGTAGTAACAAAAATGGACCTATTAGAGGTAGACTATCTTGCTTTAGCAACAAATTTGTATTTCTATAAACGAGGATCTCTCAACGAAAAACAGAGTTTGCTGTATTATCGTTACAATAATACATTCTTTTGTTGTAGTAATAAAAATGTACCTATTAGAGGTAGACTATTTTGTTTTAGCCAATAAACTTGTATTTCTATAAACGCGGAGGATCTTTCAACGAAAAACAGATTTTGGTGTATTATCAAATATAATTAGCTGTGATGAGCGGAGGTTAATTGCTTTTACATATGGAAAGGTAAAAAAGCCATATTGGTGTAAGTCAAATTTTTTTAAATATTGACTATGTGTGCATAGATGCAATATGCAATTTATATATTGTATAGATTGCATCTATGCACACAAGTCAATATTAAAAAAAAATGATTTACACCACTATGGCTTTTACCCCTCCATATAATATATGCAATAGCATACTATAGTTTTGTTGTGGCAGTAAAATTCTTTTCTTTCTGCGTAAAAAAGATTAGAAGAAACTCATATAAAAATTTGCTTAATATTACTTAACAATCTAAATAATAATACAAAATGTTATAACCCGAGATAACTTTGCATTGCTTTATTCAAAATAAATAATTTGGAATTTTGCTTAAAGTAATTTAATGATGATTCGAAAAATTTTGTTTGGATTTAGAGAAATATGTAAATTTGTGGACGATGTAGACGAAGTTTACAAAATCAATTTTCTATTTATGCTCGAAAATTGGCCGTTTTGTATTACTTAGCTGTTGCTTAGTCGAGCGAAATTATATTGTTATTTGTTTCTATTTATGGATGGCATGAATATAGAAACCCGTCTGATCATTCAATATTCTCGTCTATCTTGGGAAGCGTCTGGAGTGATCATTTGCGATTTCTTCTTTGTCGTCTATTTCTTGTAAAGTACGAAGGAAAAAATGTGCTTGTTAATGCTTACGGGGAGTATAAATGTAGCTTTTACTATTTATGTCCATTGAACCATTGGTGGTACGAATTGATCGTATACTCGGTGATACATCTATAAGAAGCTTTGAATTATTGATTGTCATATCTGTCATTAGAAATAATGGATTAAGATTACGATTAACTTTCCGACAATCAAGTATAATTCGTCAATGATTAAAAGATTTAGTAGGATTTAATTTATGCCAGGTGTTCCTTTACATTGCTAAGATGCTTTGTGAAATTTTTTTGGATTGGGCGTGTTTGTTTTTAGCCAAATATTTCTTATTGTTGAAAGCTATGGATAGAATCTGATTTTGCGAAAATTTTCTTTTTATTTTTATTCGCCATTTTGATCTATTGGTACACTACTGATGTAATCGATGTAACCACGACGGTCTTCTCTGGGTTATCTAGAGTGATTGGCACCTCGCCTCGTGTCACAATCAATCAGTTGTTCTTGACATGTCTGGAATCACTGTCAGGCGCTTCGCGGATCAGTGAAACGGTTGAAACACGGAACGTGCTGTTACATAAGCATAAACTAATAATTTTCATTATTTAATATTTTTATATTTATTTTTGACATTTAAATCTATACAATTGATTTTATGTGAAATTAATCATTTAATGTTTAAATGAATCTTACATTAAATATTAATTCTAGAAAATGCGAAAAAAGAAAAGTTTATTTAAATAGTATATATAAGACTTTTTTTTTGTAAAATAATTAAAATGTATTGTAGCAACGTGTATAATCTCACGTGTGTACCTGAAAGATACCTGTCATCAAATTGATTGTTTAACTTATGAAATAATTAAGTTTTATATAGATAAAACAATGCAACACATGTGATTTAGTGATAATATTATTTATGATCTGTATCATGGTGTACCATACGTTACATATGCTGCAAATACGCGTAGATCCGCGCACCGAATTCAACCAGAGGTTGGTGATAGCGACAATAAATTAATATAAATTTTTAGTAGTAGCAGTTTTTTTTATCGAAGTTAACTATCATTATTATTTTTATTATGATTTGTTAT